TGAAGATATGGACTTACCTGGGTAGTGATATTCTCCAAAAACATCAAGATTGCAAGCGGCGCCATATACCCAATCACCATTGGCCTCACTAGCCGTAACTTATCCCCTAGTTTCAAGTCGCTGATCATTTCTTCCTTGCCGGAACCACCGACTTCTTCCATCTGGATCTCATCAATGTCCGTCCCGCTCGCCAATGCGGCTTCATCGCACTCCTTCGGAGATGGAAGTACAAAGAAATACGTCATTAACATGATACTGGGAACAATCCCAATACCAGATAAAACTTCTGATGGTGTTACTCCAAAGGAGCTCGTAAGAAGCGTATAGATAAATGATCCCACCAGCCCTGCTGCTCCGCTACCGGCCGCATATCCACCAAAAGAGCGGGAAATCATTGATGGGTAGCGGGTTGCGAGTTGGTAGAAAGACCTTTTTGCCATCAGAATGATACATGGGTTGATAAACATGGGCTGCAGAGAAAACTTACATATCGCCCAGATTACTACTCAGACTAGCAAAAGCAATACCAAGCATTCGGATACCAACATTATCAGCCCACGCTAGCATCTGGAGCCCAAGAAACGAAGAGGCTGCGCAGACAGAGAGGCGGGCTGCATAGTTGATCTCTTGGGACACCTTGTGTCCTTCCTTGAGCCCAAAACCTGGGGTGCCAGGAGTGTGAATCCCACCGGGAGTGTGAGCTCTCCAATAGTCAGACGCTTGGGGCGAATAGAAGTAGGAAACGAGATCTGAAACCTTGGGGAACTTGATATATGGGACGAAGGTACGAACAAGAACTGATGGAAGGGTATACGCGAAGAGGATAAGACCCGGTGGCGCGCTGTTTCCCACAAGACTGATAAAATATTAATATTAAATTAAATGCTTCGAGAATAGGAGATGATCTAAAGGCTACATACTCATTGGCGGCAGTTAAGACAACCCTGGATGTGCAATGTTAGTCGATTGCAAGAATATTAACTGAATCAATATCTAAGAAGGATACATACCCGAACTGCATTGTCACAAGAGTACCAAACATCCAAAAAGAAAAGGACAGCAACGCAGGTACCGAAAACAGAGCCATCAGGAATGACGTCTTTCCCTGCTTCATGTGCACCGGAGTCGAGTCAATCCTTCTACTTTTCGGCGGAAACGTGTTATACACCGGCTTGCTTCCTTTACCGTTACTAGAGGATTGGCGAGAAAGAATTCTGGAGGTTGAGTTATAGCCACGGTTTAATGGGGGTTTTGAGGAGGCGTTGCCTCGTATAGGAGGGTTTTTGGAGTCGCTTCGTGATATTCTGGCTGGTTTCATCTTCCGAGGAGGCTGGGCAGGGTTTGGTATGTCTAAGATTGAGTTATGGTGGGTATCAATCAACGTGGGGTAAAAGCACAACTATATAAATAGTCGAGAAACAATGAATCTTGTCATTTCTACTTATCCTAAACATTTTCAAGCTTAAGGTGGAGATATCATGTGGGGAGGATAAGAATACATGTAGTACTGGTCACGCATTGGAGCTGGTGAAGACCTGACCTACATACATACATACCTGTATTTATTAGTATGTCTTGGCAGATATGGTAGCTCAAGGGCTAGAGAATTAATTTAGGTTGCTTGAAAATTCTTCGGGATAGGAAGTAACCACAGAGGGGCTTTCAGACTGTGGGGTAAAAAATTGTCTTTGATCCTCGTACATACATACAGAGATCTTGGTACAGAATTGCGGAGCAGCCAACCGTTCGTTTTGCATCTGTTTCTTAGTTCGTTAAAATCTGCGAGATTGCATCACCTATCTGAACGCTTCTTCTCCGTAGCCTGTAGCTCTGTGTAAGTGGCGTTTTGCTTCCTGGGTTTTCGGGTTTTCGGGTTTCGGGTTTTCGAAGGGATCTTCCCCGTTAGATACCCGTGTTTAAACCTGTCTTTGCTTCAAGTACGGGTCTTTTCATCCCTAGACCAACCACTAGGCTCGTTGTTAACTGGCTCGTCCTCCTACCACGCTGGCCTGTGACCTGTCTTTTGGTGTACTAAATGTATTTAAGTCACAGTGCTAACGATCTTCGAAGGCAAATACTCACTCAGTCAGTGTCTACCTTAGCGCTTTTTCATACATCTATCTCAATATCCATACTTTCAAAGCTACGTTTATCAATAATACAATATTCATGCCAAACACGAGAAGGCCTTCTACAATAGAGGGATTATCGTCGAATTTTAACCATCAACCTGAAGAAGAGCCGTTTGCAATGGATGATGACTTTGGCGAACAGGAGAGACCTTTGGCATCGCCAACCAAAATACCAATACCAAAAGTTAGATTAGCGCCTGACGCATTAGGAGCGCCCACGGCCGTGAAACCTCACATAAATCGTGCATGGGTTACTGTGCTCACAGGACCAGCATATCTACCAGGAACTATAATTCTTGCTGATTCGCTTAGGAGGGTCGAATCAAAGTATCCGCTTCTTGTTTGCGTTACACCCTCGGTGAATAAGACTGAGCAAAGCGCACTCAAGGCTGCGGGATGTGAGCTGATGGTGATCGAGCCACTGGAACCAAAGGTAAAAGTGAATGTTGTAGCGACTCGATTTGAGGATACATGGACTAAGCTGGTAGTTTTTGGGCTTGAGCTGGCAGAGGTAAGTTATAATCGTTTGAATTTTATATCATTGATTAATCGATCTTATGCAGAGACTGGTCCTACTCGATAGTGATATGCTGGTTATTCGCAATATGGATGAGCTCTTTGACATGGATCTGCCGTTTGACTTTATCGCTGCAAATCATGCCTGTGTTTGCAATTATGCCAAGGACCCATGGGCTGATGCTGATTGGTAAGTCCTTAAAGATCTGAACGTTCTTGTCACTCTTTTCTAAACGTATTCTTCGCCACGCAGGAACCCCCAGAATTGTGCATACACAGGCCTGAAGCACCCTGAAGCCCTTACGAACCCAAGAGAGGTCACAGCAGAGTCTATCAGGACGCATCATCTTATAAATTCTGGTCTCGTCGTATTCCATCCCTCAGCTGCGTTGTATGCGGCAATACTAGAATTCCTCTACACTGACCCCCGGGTCCCTACCTTTGGGTTCCCAGACCAAGATCTTCTTTCCGTATTTTTCAAGAATAAATTCAAGCCAATAGGTTGGCAGTACAATGCACTAAAAACAATGAGCTACGAGCACAGGGACATGTGGAATGACTTTGAGGTAAAGAATCTGCACTTTATTTGTGAGAAGCCATGGAAGACGGGTAGATGTGAGGGAAGATTCAAAATTTCACATGGTGTCTGGTGGGATGCTTGGGACAGGTGGTTTCACGAGACTCGGAATCAGGTAACTGGGCTTGCGCAGTTCCTTGCACGATATGTTAATCTGCCTGATAACCCCGGGTCGAGTGATTGCTCAGGCTCTAGATGAGAGTTATCCTGTTAGCAGTTCCAACATGTGCCGGTGATAGTTGAGCTCTCTCTCTTCGTCCCGTGAACGTATTTTAAGACTTGTATTAAAGTTGTTTCAACAGTTTTTTTTAATGAATTCATAATTCAATTAGGCAGGATACGTAATTGTGTTCACTCATATCTTGTCACTCGGTGTAAACGTAGGGTTAGGGTTCTACACGTGTTGTCTACGAGTAAATGCATGCCACTCCACTCAACAAAACAAGTGCCGGTGAAGCCAGCCGTCTACTTCGACTGTTGAACTAAACATGTGCACAAGCTCCAAATATGTACGCACACTTTGTCTTTGTTACGACATCGAAACTACATGTGCTTCATTTAATTATGAAGGTTCAGTCCTTGTAATGACCACTTCAAGAACATCGCTAAGTTACAAACTATTACTGCCAATGATATTACAAGTACTTGTAAAAATGCACATGTCCAATGACCCACAAACACCCATGAAGTAAATCAATTATTTCAAGGCGCAAAAGCTACATGAGGTACCTATTTATTTATTTATTGTTATATATATGCATGAAAACAGGGAACTTTTTGTTTCCTTGCGTACTTGTATCTATTTTATAATTCTTAATCCTCTTCTCACTTTATTGGAGTTTGTGTGATAGTCCTACTCTGCTAAACTCTCATATAGAGAGTGGAGGTTTGCCCAGAGAGCGCTGGATCCCCGGCATCTTGTTGTGTTTCCTATCCAACACCTGAATCTGTTCATCAGCTTCGATCTTGATTCTTTTAGAGATGTTTAGGGTGAGAAGCGGCGATAGTGAATTATATAAACTTATATAGAGCCTACTCGGGAGCGAAATTTGTTCATTAGATACTGCCCGACAGTGCTCGAGCGCGAATGTAGTCCAATAGTTCTCGCGCAGCAGACCAGGAACACGCTGCGTTAGTACTGGGGCTATCAAGTCTTCATTCCTGACTTACTTATTTCCACAGAATGCAAGCATTTCTCCCGTCCCCGCTCCCGTTTGCACTGCTCATATATTTGTATCACGTTGTCACCAGTCGGCATTCTGCAACATCCCTGTCATTTTCTCGCAAGGGATACCGCCGCTGCTGCACACTGTAGCCAATATATCTGCTCGCAAACTATCCACACATATAAAAAGAATACCGAATATCTCGTCACCTGGTAATTAATTTCGGCGTGTGTGTCTTGTATTATTTATTGTGTTGATTGAGAGGGGTTACTTTGGAGGTCTTGGATTTTATATCTGTGTCTATCCCGCCAAGATGTTTTTATGGTCGGATTGATCAAGTAGCCGATTTGAAACCTCATTAATTGACAGTGTATCATGAAATATCACTCGCCAACTGTTTAGGAATGTTTCTTTTCAAGGTTGGGATAGAAAGCGAGCAAGCGAGCGGTGCTAAAGGCGTATATCTCATCACATTACATAATAGACCCGATGCAGGAGCACTGCCTACACATCTCGGTAAACGAAAAAAGAATTTAATACTATGATGTAGGCCAGCTGATAAAAGCGAATGGTGGGTGTTTTGATGGAAATTTAAATTAAAAAAAATGATACCCCAGGTCAGGGTCGAACTGACGGCTTTCGCATTGCATACAAGTTGGAATACTTAGTATAAGAACGACACGCTAACCACTGCGTCACAAGGGTATATGATGACGTGCCGCAAAAGCATATTAAGTAGAGTACGTAGCTTGGGAGACTTGGCTCCAGAGTTTGCTACCCTAACCACGATAACGTAATACGCTCGCGGGAGAGGTACTGTAAATAGAAAGTCGCGATGCGTCTCGACTGACTTCTCAGAAAAAAGTAAAGCCATCAAACGTATGATGCAGGATTGTCATTCGGATGTGTTACATAATATTCAACGTAAACAACATCGTCGGAATTTCACATTCTCGAAATCTTCTCGCTACACCTTACCTGGGTTTTCCCTTTGTTTCTTCCACAGCGATAATATAAACCGTTGAAAAAAAGGTAATCGATCCTTTAAGCCTGTTCATATTATCTGCTAACTCGGTCGGTGTTTAAGGACTATATGCGGGCTGATCAGATACCAGGCATCTAGGGCCTAGGACTAGTGCTTGAGACAGCCCAAGCTTAAGCGCAATCAGCAAAAACCGAAATCATGATCTCTGACCTGTTAGCTTGATAGACCCCGCTCTCACAACACTTAATTGCAGATAAGTAGACGGTTACCTTACTGGTGTCAGCTGCAGTCTTAGTGTTACTGATACGTACAGGACACTACCCCAATACTCGTATTTCACAAAGAAAAACGATATTCCTATCGAATTTCTTTCCTGTAGTATCACTTTGGTATATATATGTCCTTACTTCTTATGAGATATTGAAAGACTGTATCAGTAGATACATCACAAGGAGTAATTAAACCTAGAACCCTTGAAGTTGGGCATTTCCATGGCAGTACAGCGAGAGGTAATAAGTGATGGAACGCCCTGAGATGCAGTTATACCTGCAAACACATATGTTGGTGGCAGTTTACCTAAAACAGGTACCACTTTTTCTCAGCCCGTTCCATCACTTATCACTTACCGCTGTACTCAATCGCAGCACCTGGTAGATAGAAATAGACCTACCTTGTATTTTAATTGTGCATGGGCCTCGTTCGACTCCGCCTGATATGAACAATATCTAGACAGTCGCTCTCTGATTAGTCCTATCAGTCCTCTTGCGATCTGCGACTCGATCAGAGAAGGCCTGACCACTATTCAACGAGCCCATCTATAGCTATCAGTATCGACCCCGACAATCAATGCTGGAATACATGTCGTACGAGCAGTTCGGAAGAATTTCTAGTTTTCTTAGTATTACTCTTGACCTGCCTTTCTCTCGATTTAGTGCCCCTCTTAGGTAAATGGCGAGGGGGGGTACATACATGTAGTACATCTAGATCTGTGAGCATTAGTCGAAGGCCATATTCTAAAGTGGTTCAAGTGGTTCCATAAAATGCTTTCTCGATGCTCTAAATATAAATGAACACTTGTGGGAAATATTTCAGTTATAAAAATAACCCAAAGCATCTTGATATTCTATCTTGGTCCAAACAATCCAGGTCTGGAGATAAGGCAATACGGCGCAGTTGCAGTACTAATGCTTGGCAATGCACGGTGTGAACACTCTGTTTATCAGAGCTCCAAACTGGGTCTTATCTATAGATATAGATATTAATATTTCATCTTTTATACCCCCTTATTTTTTAATTTTTTAATTTTTTATTTCAATGGATACGTGTAGCTAGCTGCGGCTGCAGGTTAAAGGTTACTACTGGATAGCTGTAACATTATTATGTAGGCGCTATATACATGGATTTAATGGGCTCAAATTATCACAGTGGCGGGTGAGTTTTTTTACATCACTACGAAGTGGTATTATATTCAAGTAGAGTACTCGATCAGGTAGTTTATGTTTTGAAGAGATATGTACATCCGGGAAAGAAATGAGTAATTAGAGTTGTATGCATGGCGGGGGTCGTAATATCCAGAAAATAGCTATAGCATATCACTGAATGGTCTCGATTGTTTATATGGTGGAATCAGAGACTCACTTGGCCTCAGCTAGCATTTCAATTATACAGAACTGCTACTTGCTAATCCGTGGGCGTTGATTGGCAACAAATGACCACATCCCGCGAAGCCCTTGCTTGGACCCCGGATTCTTGGCGCTTCCCCACATTCATTTTTTCACAACACTGTGAGCCTTTCTCTGCAAACAGCAATTGCTTCTTCCAACTCTCTATCGTGACAAAGAAGAAGGTGAGACATCATGTCTTCAATGCGTCTTGTGAGCTTCTTCCCAATCTCAATTAGAAAAGTCAAATCTAACGCACCTGCCCCACAGCTACGACTTCCCACTAGTACCAGGCTCTGCCTCCCCCGGCACCGCGCCTTCCCTCCAAGACTCCCTACATTCTTTCAACCTGCGACATCTTTTAACCTCGTTCGCTCCCTTGCAACATCTTCCAATGTTCCAGCATCTTCGCCAGTTCAGAACCTCACTGAACAGATCGTACAAAACTATGCTGTCAACCTCCCTCCTGGCAAGGCCGTCCACTCGGGGGACTATGTTACAATTCGTCCACACCACTGTATGACCCACGACAACTCCTGGCCCGTGGCCCAGAAGTTCTTCTCGATCGGTGCTACGTCAATTCACAACCCTAAGCAAATCGTTATGACCCTAGACCATGACGTCCAGAACTCGTCTGAGTCAAACCTGAGGAAGTACAAAAATATTGAGGAATTGGCAAAGAAGCAGGGTGTAGACTTCTACCCAGCTGGAAGGGGTATTGGACATCAGATCATGACCGAGGAAGGATATGCGTGGCCAGGAACCCTTACCGTAGCGAGTGATTCACACAGTAACATGTACGGAGGTATCTCTTGTCTTGGAACCCCAATTGTCCGTACCGACGCCGCATCTATCTGGGCTACTGGGCAGACATGGTGGCAGATCCCACCGGTTGCGAACGTGAAGCTTCAGGGTGTCCTCCCTAAGGGTGTTACTGGAAAGGATGTTATTGTTGCCCTTTGCGGACTCTTCAACAACGACGATGTCCTCAACCACGCCATTGAGTTCACAGGATCCGAAGAAACCCTTCAGTCCCTCCCTATCGATGATCGCCTGGCAATTGCCAACATGACTACTGAATGGGGCGCCCTCAGTGGTCTCTTCCCCATGGATTCAGTCCTTAAGAACTGGATGCTCCAGAAGGCTCGCGAACACTCTGCCCGCCTCAAGGACGCTACCCACCCCCGCCTCACGAACGAGAAGATCGCTGATCTGTTCGAGAACAAGAAGCTCACTGCACACCCAGACGCTACCTACGCAAAGACGCTTTCCCTCGATCTCAGAACTCTTTCTCCCTATGTTGCAGGGCCAAACTCCGTCAAGATTGCCACACCGCTTCGCGAGCTTGAAGCCCAGAAGGTCGCCATCCAAAAAGCCTACCTCGTTTCATGCACCAACTCCCGTGCTTCTGACATCGCTGCCGCGGCTGCCGTGTTCAAAGCTAATCCCACTGCAAAAATCGCTAACGGTGTAGAATTCTACATTGCAGCCGCCTCAACTCTCGAGCAGGAAGTCGCCACTAAAGCTGGTGACTGGGACACCCTTATCAATGCTGGTGCGAAGCCCCTCCCGGCTGGATGCGGCCCATGTATCGGGCTTGGAACTGGTCTCCTTAAGGACGGCGAAGTAGGCATCTCTGCCACAAACCGTAACTTCAAAGGTAGAATGGGTTCAAGAGACGCACTCGCCTACCTTGCCTCCCCGGAAGTCGTGGCCGCCAGTGCACTCAACGGTTACATCTCCGGCCCCGGAAACTACACTGGCCCTGGCGCTGCTGTGACCCGCTCCCAGGCCGCTACTCCTCCCTCTAGCTCTTCCGGTGCCGCAGCTACCTCAGAGGCACAGGCAGAAACCGAAATACTTGATGGTTTCCCCTCCAAGGTTACCGGCGAGATTGTCTTCTGTGACGCAGACAACATCAACACTGACGGAATCTACCCCGGAAAGTACACTTACCAAGACAACATTCCGCTCTCCCAGATGGCCGAGGTCTGCATGGAGAACTATGACCCTAACTTTGCAACTCTAACTAAGGCTGGCGATATTCTCGTGTCCGGTTTCAACTTCGGTACTGGATCCAGCCGTGAGCAGGCTGCCACCGCTATTCTGGCTAGAGACATGAAGATGGTTGTGGCTGGCAGCTTCGGAAACGTGTTTATGCGTAACAGCATCAACAACGCCCTGATCACTGTGGAGGTACCTAAGCTCATTGAGCGATTACGGGCAACCTTTAGCGATGGGAAGGGTGTGGCTACCAGGAGGACCGGATGGTTCCTGACATGGGACGTAGCACGGAGGTGTGTGATTATCAGAGAGGGCGGTGAGGGTGCTACGGAGTGGACAGTACCCGTGGGGGAGCTCCCGCCGGGTGTCCAGGAGGTGTTTGTTAAGGGTGGTCTGGAGGGATGGGTTAAAGCTAAGTTGCAGTAGAGTGGAGTGGAGGAATGGGTTTGATTTATACTCTTTGGCGTTTAAAATATGAGCAGTTAAGGGAGATATCAATTTATATGTATAGCCATAAACGAAACTATTCAAACAACCATTATGATATTTTAAGTGAGCTACCTGCACCACTACAGATCATCAATTTATACTTACTGGCAATCCTTGGGTTATTTGTCAAGGTTGGAGCATCCTTCATTATAGATACATGTGGGTGGGGGTGGCCAATCACTTGAATAGAATCATCATTCGAATCCCTTCCGATACAAAATCATACTCCATACCTGTACACACCACCATCACAACCATTCCATCATCACATTCCATCGCCACTCCATCACCCACCCACGAGCTCTTTAAACAATGTCCATCATCAACGGACCACGGGGACACTTCCGGCCCGAGTTATCATGTCTACTACCACTCTTTCACACACCGCGCCGCAAACCCACCACCACCACCACCACTACTACTACTACGATTGAACTGCTGCTGCTACTATACTACTACTACAACTGCTGCTACTACTGCTACAACCCCCACCACTTCCACCACTTCCACCACCATGGCCGTCATGCCACGCCAAACCTGCCTCGAGACGTCCCTCATCTCTAGCT